CTGTTTCAGGGCAATCTGTCCAGCCCCAAAGTTCACCTTCCCAAAACTTAGGCAAGCTTTTACAGCCCCTTGCTTCCAGAGCATGCCTATAGCTGTAATTAATGGCAGATATTCACACATCCTTTTGGCCCTCCACCTATGCATTTGTGGGTCCCCAGAAATTGAGGATCAGCCTTACTATTTGTTTTCTTGCTCATTATATTCTGAACCTAGAGCCAAATTTCTGAGATCTATTCTGCCTGATTTAGGGCCTCTATAGACTGGCCCAAAGGGCCGGTCTGGACGCCGGGTGCCCCAACCCCACACCGGCGGTGTCCTGATGCTGCACACCATTATGCACGGCGCATGGCATCAGGATGTCCTTCTGGTGCAGTGTTTTGACGCGCTGCGCCGGAAGGGGTGCTAAAGAGCCACATGCCGGCTCTTAGGGCACCCTTTTGCTGGCTCTGAAGGGAGCGGCATTTTGCTGCTCTTTTCCGGACCGGCAAAAGGGAGGATCGGAGCCGACACATCCAGCAGCCTTGGCCCCAATCCTCCATTTCCCGGGGTGGCCCAGGGCTGCCCGTCTGCATCCCCCCTTAGAGTCTAATACTGTTTCAGAAAAGATTTTCTATTTCCTGGCTGATACTGACTCTATTGTAACTTGCAAGGTTTCTTTTTTTGCCCTGGCAGCAATGAAATTTTGGGCAAGATATATTGCCAATATTGCTGTTGACTGCTCTAGGGATGCTCTCATTTAATTCTAGTTTTATTATCTGCATTTTAACCGAATTGACTTTTAAATCTTTTACATGCAAGCTTATTATGTAAATTATTTTATGTTGTACTTTTATTACACTGTTCCTACATGTTGTATTGTACTTTAACACTCTGTATGCAAATGGAATTTGGTCTAAGCATTAATAAATGATTGATTGATACTTTGTATCTAGTCCTGCATGTTTTGCATCAGGCACTCACAATCATGGGGCCCTTGTTGTTCTCCCTGTACTTGTCCTGCATGAAGACGTAGACGACAATAGCAGCTAGGGAGTACAGGAAGGCAAAGACTGCGATGGTGACGAAAAATTCAGCTGAGGAGGAATAGTCTCCAATCAAGAAAACCTTCTCCTGTTCATTCCCTTTACAAACTGGAGCATCAAAATACACCTGGTGGAGCCTGGAAGCAGGAAAAAGAAAGCCAGAAAAATTAGGACAGGTGGCCATAGAGGAAGGGGTGATCATGATATCATAGCTATATGCACTCTTGAGTTGTTATTACTCTAAGGAGTTTATCACACGGGGGAAATCCCGTGTGGAAACGAGGGTTTAAAGTAGAAAAAAACCACAAAAGCGGATGTTTTTTCAGATGACATCGCTGTTAAAAGGAGGTTAAACTGGGGTTAATCCAAACAGAAACCCCTCATTGACTGCTTTTTTTTACTTTCGGGTTTTTCCGAAAGTAAAAAGAAGCAGTTTCCGTTCGGATTAACCCCATTTTAACATCACTTTCACTTTTTACACTGGGGAATTCCGTTAATAAATTGCTTTCGCTTTTGCGTTTTTTTTCTACTTAAAGCAGGGTTTCTGCACGGGACTCCCCGTGTGATAAACTCCTAAGTCTGCACCAAAGCAATTTAAATTCTCTGGCAAGAAAATTTTGCAATCTTTCTGTGTATGACTATCAGAAGACAGGATGGGTGAACTTATGAAAGTTACTCAGAGAGATGTTTCATCCTTCCTTATTATATTAAAAGATACGATCAATCAGTGAAATGTATGGCTAATTAAATTCAGAACAAAGGAAAAACATATCTTCATGCAAACAAGTCATTCCTCTATCAAGACTGGTACCACATGATGTGATAAAAACAACAACAGGTAAGGCTACAGAGGAGCCTGGATAATAGCGTCAAAAGCTCTTAGACACAGTAATTAACTAGAAGCTCCATATTCCACCCTTCAGTGCCATAAGCAACAGTGGGTGGCCATGTCTTCTTCTTGTTGTAATATGCCATCAGTCAGCTTCAACTTATGGTGACCTTATGAATGAGAGGCTTCCAAGAGAACCTGTCATTAGCAACTCTGCTCAAGGCTTGTAAACTCAATGCCACCTTGAGTGCTTATATTGGGAGAAAGGCGGGATATAAGAAAATAAAATAATAATAAAAAGTAATTACCTCCATACCCTAATGTATAGGCTTCCTTGATCTCTTGCTGGCCACAGACATACAGCAGATGAGTGACCCTTGTCTAAAAAGGTGGGGCTCTTTTTAAAATGTAAACTGAGAAAATGTGCAATTTATTTGGTCTAATAGTCATGTTCTATTAGCCTCAAAAGTGATGTTGGCTGAACATGAAAACCCTGTCCCTGGAGAAAAGAACCACTTAAAAGAACCACTCACTGTGTTCCCAAGACATCTGATCTTGGTTTAGAGCAGCTTTGAATATACATGTGGATTGATTAGGTCAAGGAAGCGACAGCCCTGAGTTTGCAAGACCTGAGCAGGGTAGTTGATGAACCAGGGATCTTAGAGATCTCTTAGGGTCACCATAAATCAAAGTTAACTTGATAACAAATAGCAGCAATAACCCATGTCTCCTATAGCATCTTTTTCAGTCCCTCTTTGTGCAGCTTACTGCTTGGTCTTTTTGAAGGTGATGATTCCTACTCTTTGTCCAGAGACTGTGGTTTCTGAAGCAGGACTGGACACCCTCTGCTCACCATTAGTTTCTTGGCTAACCTCATTTAATGGAGCAACCATACTTAGGGGCCCAACTCACCGGAAAGGATATGAAAACTCCACCTCTATACTGAGATCGCTCTCATTCTTGTTGGGGCATTCGACACTCAGGCAAAATTCTCCAGTGTAGCTGCCGCATGTTGCAAATGCAAAGATGGAAAAGAACTGTGGGGAGATTCAGAAAGAACGAGAGAGAGAGAAAACGTGTGTTCAGGGGCATATGAGCACAACATCACTGCATGGCTACCATATTTGGGTTGATCTGAAAATTCTAAGCAAGTGAAAATCTCCATGTCTATTGCAGTGATTTACCACCATTTAAAGATCATCACATGCTACAACATACACACACCTGCAAACCTGTGTAGGAGGGAGAGAGCAGCAAGCAATACAGGAGGAGTGTACATTAGGATGGCTAGAAATAGCAACAACCCAGAAACCCACCAATTTCATAAAAGAGTGTACCAAAGATATTACACAACCTGTGATATACAATCGGCCCTCTGTTTTCATGGGGGAATCCGTTCTGGACCCATGCACCCCCATAAAAACAGATTCGCAAATATTCAAACCCCATTGGCTTGAATGGGGTGCACCCCCATGGGGGCAGGCAGAAGCGCGCCCCATTGATTTTAATGGAGGTCGCTCCTCCGTGAATATGCAAAACCATGGACTTCAAGTCCGCGAGGATTCAGGGACTGAAGGATAGGATCAAAGCACCAGGATATTTTTATCAGTAGGGGTCATGATGTCAACAGTTCCCAAATGTTCTCAGACTTCTCTGTTCCCTCTGAGTTTGAGTGCAATCTTCACTGTAAGGGCTGTGGATGGTTGGGGGTTGTGGATTTGCACAGGAACAAAATATTGTGGTCACCTATCCTGTGGTGTAGTGGTTTGAGCATTGGACTGTGATTCCGGAAACTAGGGTTCGATTCCCCACTTGGCCATGAAAACCCACTGGGTGACCTTGGACAAGTCACTCTCTTGGCCTCAGAGGAAGACACAGCAAACCCCCTCTGAACAACTCATGCCAAGAAAACCCCATGATAGGTTCACCTTTGGGTTTCCATAAGTCTGAAATGACTTGAATGCACACAACACACACACACACACCCCTCTTGCAAAACAAAAGAGATGGGAGCAGGTTGTGTTAAGTAAGTACAGCCAGCCCTCAGCATCCATGGATTCTGCACTCATGGATTCCACAGTTTGAAAATATTCCAATCCCCCCCTACCCCGAAAAGTAAACCTTGAGTTTGGCATTTTATAAAAGAGACATCATTTTACAATGATATGCCTGTAAAGAGAGGATCCGTGCCCAGTGCACTTTTAGCCAATGAAACACACAAGGATGGAGGGCACATAACCTTTTCTTCAGTTCTGTGCAAAAAAGGGAGCCTGGTGATAATTTGCAAAGTAAACATGCATTCAAACTTTTTACAATACATATTTTTTCTAATTAAAATTTCATTGAATTTTTACAATAAAACACATATAGTCTGTAGAACAGTGACAAAAACAACAGTAACAACAACAATTAAGTACAAGGGCCAAGGGTATGTATCTGATGAATAGAAGCTTCTAGCCAGAAGCTTCTACACTAAGCAACACATTAACAGCTCTCAGGTTTCCCACACAGATCCCTTTATTTCATTGTTTACATGGGACTTGAGCATCCACAGATTTTGGTATCCACAAGGTAGGATCCTGGAACTAAACCCAAATGCACATCAAGGGCCCATGGAAAGGAGGGGCCCTTCAGTTTACAAAAGACCCGCTGGTAGTGGAGATGAAAACTTCCACAACTAATTTGTTGATATAGATCAGTAGGGCTGCCCGGAAATTTTAAAAACTCGCCATGGAGAGATCTGTCAAGATGTAAAGTCTGCTACTGTACTGCTTTATCCAGCAAAGATGTTTTCATTACATTATCTATTATACAATGAGACAAGGAAAACACTGCAGATGTGATGAGAAATGGCATGGTTTTTGGTATTACAAATTTGGTAGTTGCGTAGACATTGTCAGAACCATGCCTGCGTGCATGGATTCTATCAGGCTTTTATTGCTGGGTTTTAATATTGTAATAGTTGTGGTTGACAGGAGATTGTGGGTATGTCAGTAGTTGTAGCAGATATGTTAGTTGGGATGGGGGGTTGGGACTATTGTTACTGGGCTAGAATAGTTTTGAGAAAGCTAGACCTTAGGAATGTGTGAGCTGTGGGATGCGGAGGGTTGGTGTCTGGATGTATCTGGAAGGAGGGTGTTGGGTGAAATGTCTGGGCTGAAGAAAGATAGCCCTGGTAAGAAAGTTTGGAAAGGGGGGCTGGCTTGATGGGGGGG